GAGATTAGCTGGATCCTTTACAATCTTGTTTTAAGATTTGTTACGGTTGTTTGAGTATATCCTTTGCCCTAGATCTAGTTTAGACCTATTACTAAAAGTGTGGCTTTTCTGTGAACCTTGTTAATTCTGGGGTTTTCAATGAGATCACTCCACTCTGACAGGAACTTGACTCTCCAAACTCTGTGTGAATTCTGGCAATTATTTAACATTTAGTTCCCTGGCAGTGATATGCTACCTACTTACCTAAAAGACTTAAAATTCTCAGATACAACCCTGTGCTGCTACATGATAGATTCCTTTCCTACTCTGACTTCTTCTGAGCTCTTCTGTATTTAATCATGTTACTACTTAACTAGAAATTTGATACTCTAAAGAGAATTATTAATTAATTAATAGTGAGCTCCAGTAACTGCCTCTCAGTGAAAAAAATAATGTTAATTGTTACCATATTTTAGGACCTAGTTTGTGCCAGACACTGTGGGAAGAGTTTTATGTAGGTTATCTCTAAGTACCATAACCTGATAAAAAGAATCCTCCAGTATACTGATGAAAAAACAGAGACTCAAGGAAGTGAAATCATTTTCCCAAGACCATAATGCTGCTGGTAATTGGCAGAGTTAGAATACCTTAGTCTAACTCCAGTCTATTAAATTTCCAATATTCCAAGCAGCTATTAACATCAAGTGCTAAAATGTTATTACTCAGCTTTTCCTAGATGTATAAGAGGGTTAATCAAAATTCTATCAGTTAAATTCATTTTATTTATTTTAAATTGTATAATACTTTGGGAAGGGTCTTATAATTTCAGTTACCATAGGATGATGGTAACTTGGTGTGTGCACAACTCTGAGGGGTGGGATTGAGACTCTGTAGCAGTGGTTCTCAACCTTCCTAATGCCGCGACCCTTTAATACAGTTCCTCATGTTGTGGTGACCCCCAATTTCATTGTTACAAATTGAACATAATTAAAGCATACTGATTAATCACAAACAACAATATGTCATTATATATGTGTTTTCCGATGGTCTTAGGCGACCCCTGTGAAAGGGTCGTTCCACCCCCAAAGGGGTCGCGACCCACAGGTTGAGAACCGCTGCTCTATAGGCTCTAAAATTCTACTTCGTTTATTCACTCAGTGGGTCTGGTTTTATAGATTAGATGACCATGTTCTATATGAGTAAGCTTTCTCTCTGTAAACAGATTTACCTGAGAAGCTAAATTATAATCAAAGGTGGTTGCTCATTAGCAGAAATCTGTCAATGTATTAAGCACCTTATTTATGGAAGAGAGTTTACCATACTAGATATATCATTTCACTAAGAAGTGAAGAAGTTACATAAGTTGCTCTAGGCAACACAGTTCACAAGTGTAAGAACTGGGATTTGAACCCATGTATCTAATGTCCAAACTATTAAGCTAAACCGCCTCTCTTAGTGGGTGATCTTAAGGATGCTCCCTAGCCCAGTGCCTAGCATGTAATACTATCCTTTTTTCTTTTTAACTGAATAAGAACAATATCATTTTCTTACTTTTGCACATTTTACATATTTCATACTCTGAGTTCTCTAAACAAAGAAGAGTTAATAGATACTTAATGAATTGATAATATGTTAATCCAATTAATATATTAATATATTAGCTATTTGGGGAAGGCAAATTGATGAAAATCATGGACCATCTCAGAAAATAGCACATTTTCATCTATATACCAAATTATGCTATATCATGGGGTCCTGGACCCTCAAACTCTGCCAATGGAATTCATATAAGAACCTTTGCACTCCAAGGACCATAGAAGGCAGTTCTACTGATTCTCTTTATGAATATTGCTACTCTCTGAACTATGCAGCCGACATTTAATCTGGGTTGAATCCTCATTAATAAAGTAAGTACAAGAAAATACGTACATTTTTATTTATTCATTTCAATGAGGTACTGACATGCAGCTGCTTATTTTCCAAACAGGAATCCTAATGTCCCTCTGTCCCCAGTCTGTTCTTCTCGGTGTCCTTCCTATCTCAGGAGATGGCGATCTCTTCTTTAGTTGCTTAGGCCAAAAAATCTAAAGTCATCCTTAACTCCACTCTTTCATTCACACCCTACATCCAATCAATTGGCAAATCTTACTGCTTCTGTCTTAAAAATATATCCCCTTCTCACAGCCCCACTTCTGCTGTCCTGGTCTGCATCCAGAGCAGGGAAGGAATCTATCATGTAGCCTCCTAACTGTTCTCTATATGATCTGTCCTCTAAGACCTTAATTCCTCCTCCTCCTCCCTGTGCCTCCTCTAACTTACCCACTTGGCCTCCTTGCTGTTCCTTTACTGCTCCAAGCACAGTCCTGTCTTCAAGCTTTGCATATGTGGTCTTGCCAGGAAGATCCCCGCCCCCCCAAGTGGGCATGGCTAACTCTATCACTATATTCAGGTTTCTGCTAGATGAAGCCTTTCTTGAATATCTGATCTAAAACAGTCCTGCCTGTTTCCACACCATCTTCTATACCCTTGTGTTGCTTTCTTTGTCATGTTACTAATCACTACCTGATTTCTATTTGCTGCTTTGTTTGTATTTCCCACCCCTTAGAATGTACACTCCACTGGGCGGGGACCTAATTTTGTTTACTGTTGATTCCCCAGTGCATAGAAGAGAGCCTGGCACTCAATAAATATTTGTTGAATCAATAACTCTGCATGGCATTGAACTTCACACTACAGGTACAGTAATGAACAACACAGATGCAGTCTCTGCCTTCATGGAGTTTATAATTCTTACAGGGGATACAGGCATTAAACAATTAATCACATGACATTTAATTATTATGGTTATGAATCCTGAGGAGACCTCATTGACCACTCTGGCTGAAGGTCTTGATATATTAGAAGGCAGACCATCAAATATTTAATAATTTAGGGCCCAGAGCCAAATTCTCTCAAATCACATACAATAGAGTCAATGTCATGCAAATGAGCATCTATAATTAGAGGCAGTTTAAATGGGATTATGAAGATTTAGAGGGAGCTGACAAAGCAAGACTGGCAACCAGACTAAAAGTAGCCTGCTAAACAGATAATCCAGTGTGGCTCTGTTCTTTCCATCGGTGAAGGTTACTGCAGGTCCCAGGAAAAGAAATCCATTCAGATTGAGTGAATAATACTACTTGCACTTTGGTGGGGAAAACAAAACAAACTAAACAAAATAAAACACACTCTGGCCCCTTTAAACTTGGGTAAATTGGAAAAATATCCTAATATGTCTGTTTGTAAATGAAACAACATTACTACTTACCTTCCATTTCAGCAGAGACACTTTTCCCCTAAACATCTTCTAGTCCAGTTCCTTTCATCCCAAACCGTAGGGCCTCTTGAATGTGTTCCTTAGCTTTTGGTAACACCTTATTGAAGCATCTCTTCTTTAACCCGTTCTCCTCCTCTGTATAGTTTCAAGGAAAGGGCTTGCAGGTGCTCCCAGACCTGAGAACAGTGCCCAGCACATGTGGTGCTCAGGAACTACATGTTGAAAGGACAAACACTTAAACAAATTCCATGCCTTTATGAAGAATTATTATTTCTCATTGTTAAGCACTTTACATGCATAAAACAGATTTCCATTAAAATTTATTTCCAGCCCTAGCCGGTTTGGTTCAGTGGATAGAGCATCAGCCTGCTCAGACTGAAGGGTCCCAGGTTCGATTCTGGCCAAGGGCACATGCCTGGGTTGTGGGCTCATCCCCAGTAGGGGGCATGCAAGAGGCAGCCGATCAATGATTCTCTCTCATCAATAATGTTTCTATCTCTCTATTCTTCTCCCTTCCTCTCTAAAATCAATAAAAATATATTAAAAAATAAAATTTATTTCCAATAAATTACTATATCATTTGATCATACTGCTAGAATTATATAATAAATTATTTAGAAATAAGCTATAAATAAGGGCCCTGTAACTTTACATAAGTTATTTAATAGCCACGCGTTCCTGCCTATCAAAAGTCTCACTGCAACATACTGGTGAGGCCTAAGCAATGTGGGGCAAAGCTCCGGCTTAGATGCCGTCCAGGCGCTTAGAGGAAAGGGAAGGAAGAGAGGAAGAGAGAGTACATTTATTGTGTTCTCTCACATACCACCCGTGTGTGATATGTTATCATCTTACGCCACTTGTCCTCACAAAAACCTAACGAGGTTGGTTATATTTCCGTTTTACAGATACGGAAACTGAGGCTCAGAAAGGTTAAGTCATTCTTTCAAGACTATACAACTAATAAGCATTATCCCAAGAATTATAATACTTAGTTCATCCTTAGTTATAGTTTTGGTGTGGGAACGGTGCATGAAGAAAGAACAAGAGCTAGTAAAAGAAGGTGCATTTGAGATCAAAGGAATGAGTCATTCCAAAAAGGTAAAGAATTGTATGTGTGTGTGGTGAGGTGGGGTGGGGAGAGGGAGGAACTGTTTCATAATGACAAGTTTCTATGAAGTTTCATGATGTCAGCCAGGAGTTAAGTTGGCAAGGGGATTATTAGAATCATTGATCTGATGATTTTATTTAATTCATTAAATAATTTAAGAACATGCCAAAGAACAAGCAAACCATAAAAAATAAACATTTCATTAAGAATAAGAAAATCGTTTTGAAATATTTTAGAGCAGAAGAAATAAGTCAGTGATAGGGAAACCAATAAATAAATTATGAATAATGGAATATGGCAGAATATTATGCACTCTTTAAGAGGATGCTTTAGATAGACATTGAATAATGTAAAAGTGTTAATATAATATTAAAATCAGAATCTTATTAAAATATATATTTATATATTATTATACATTTAAAATATGTATTATATATTAATATCAATTGTCCCAGAATGGTAAGAATATGTTTCAGTTTTGTTTTCATCTCTTCCGTATTTTCCACATTTTATGACGCATGTTTTATTTTATAATTAGAAGTATGTTATTTTAAAATTCTGTAACCCACAAGCCAATTTTCCAAAAGAACTCAGTACTCCGCTAATTTTCTTTGCTAGGCATCTTGGGGTTTCTCCTCTTTTGATGGCTTCCTGATCCACTGGGAGCTGTAACCACTTAATGAGGGTTGTTGAACAGCTAACTATTCAGCAGGACAACTATTGCAAGTACTGGAGAAAGAATGATGTATTTCTGGAGCTGACAGATAGTCAGATTTATGACAGATAGACAGTCATTAAAATGAAGGCAGATTGCTAGATGGAGACACTATTTATTTCATGCCATTCTGATTTTGAGCCTTAGGGAAAAGTATTGTGAGCATGTAAAAGGTCAAATGTTGCATTAAAAGTTCTTAGGGAAATTTACTTTTAGGTCATTAGAATAACATTTAGAAACTAGCTGGCCTATTGATGTTCTTTGCACATCTAAAGCATGAATTATTCTTTTAGGCAAGCTCAGACTCGTTCTTTGTATTGCTCGATCAGATATGTTTCAAACATGCAGTTCTTCCACACAATAAACAGGTCAATGAATAAATAAGTGCACCCTACTTATATTTTAATAGCTTTTAGTATGATAGCACTGTATTTAAATTTCTAACTATACTTTGTAAAAACCTAGACACACCCCAGCCCCCCACCCCCCCACCCCCAAATGAGTCAGAACTTTTCACTTCAGAACCAGCGTCAGCGACTATAGTCTGAGAACTCATCATTCCCAATTTAGGGAGACCTGGATCAGAGAAAGCCATTCTGGGAAGGGATCTTTACTCAAGGATAACGCGGGTGGGCATCTTAAACTCCCTCCAGGCGCTGCAGGAATCCGGGGCCTGCCTCGGGCAGCCGTGACAGACCGCCACCATCCCCTCCTTTGGGGGCAGGTTTTAGCACGTCACGCATGGGCCCCAGGAAGCAGCTCCTCGGACAAAGAGCCAATACTTTCAAGATTGTAAACCTGGGGAAATTGATAGTATAAATAATAAAGTTCATCAGGCAATATTACCTTTGGTTAATTTTACTTTAAAATTTGTTAAGAGGTGTCGTTCTGAGACACCCCTTTTAGCCCTCACTCTCATACATATTAACAAGCTGGGGCTCTGGGAAGGATAATGGTGATTTGGTTGCTGCTGTTGTCATCCTTGTATAAATCCGCAAATCCAATACTGACTCAGGAAATCCTCCTTGTCCACGCCACGGGCTTGTTTCTTTCCCTGAAAATGATTGTGAAAACTAGGCCTTTGCACATGTTTAAAGAAAGGAAAAAGATCAGCATTTTTATTATTTTTAAAAGTTAAGACCTGGATTTTGACAATGTCAAGGTTGACACCATCTCCCTGTTTATTTTGGATACACCACTGACTTCCATTTCTAGAAGACACAGATACATTGCGTAAGCAACCAAGGTAAGAACGCAATGGTAATTACAGTTGTATTTTCACACGTGCTTACACCTCGGTTTTGCCTTATTAAAGCATCAGCATCTGCTTTGTTTTCCATGCTACATGCTTTCTAGTTACAGCTGATGGTTGTATTTTTATTAACTTCTCTGTATTTTTGACAGATGAATGAGTATTCTGCTAAAATACAATTTTAGTTTAACATGCTAATAAATAAAGGCCTAGCAATATGATTCTGCTAATCTGAATATCATAACATGGTAAGTGCTACCTGTTTTTCATAAATTTCAAACTCATTTTTTAGAAGTCAAAAACAATCACTTTGGCAGGTGTGTCTTTCCCTAAGGAAGTATTATATACTGGTTTGCTTCTTCTTTAACATATTTGAGGATAGAACACCATCAAATTCATATAATTCTTAATAAAAAATTAAAATATGAGCCTCAACTCATTGAGAACCTCATAAGAATTAGGTGCTTTATAAACATTATTATAACTGGTACACCCCCTTTGCGGGGTGAATAAGTGGTCCAAAGAGATTAAGTGGCTCCTTCAAGGCAACACCTTACTATTGTATAATGGAGCCAGAATTTAAATCACCTTGCCTTCTTTTAATTCTTCATGATAAGCATTTCTATTTCAATTAGATTTTAAAAACAATGATCAGTTACTGTCATGTTTTGTTTTTATAAATTTAAAAATTACTCATCATTTTGTTTGTGCAAAGATTACAGGATTTTAAATGTTTGTGATTTCATTCTACATTAGAAAGTTAGACATTATTAAACCAAGCTTTTAAAATGTTCCTGTCAATAAAGACACATCTTAAAATGACTTTTTACATTTTGACCAGTTTTGCTTATATATTCCTTAACTCATTTGTTCTGCTGCATTTATTCTTTTCATAAATATCACTCGCTCATGTCATTGTTAGATCAAGCAGGCAGACAAAAGAAGATGGGTGTGAAGTATCAGGGTATAAAGAAAAACCTAATAGTTATTGAGTGCACTTTATATCCATAGAGAATACAACCTCTTTCCTCTACTTTTGGAATATTTATAAATATTGATTACAAAAATAATCTCAGCAAGGCAAAAAAAAATGTATACAAGCTACATTCTCTGGCCACACAGTCAAATAAAGTTAGAGATTAACAAGTAAAGTTTAAGTTAAGGACCCTACCCTTAGAAATGGAAAAAGAAAAGTATAGGGAGGAGAAAAACATTGTCAAATAGCTCTTTAATGGAAGATAATAGCAAATTATTTAATTCATTAAATAATGTAAGCTATTGCAGATCTTTCTCTTTTTCATCGAGGTACTTTTTAACCTGTGAAGTTGATATGCGCTAAAAACTAAAAAGTCTGGATAAGATAGATTATTTTCTACACTCAAAATGTCTAAATTTAAACTAAGAAAGAAAAAATTAAATTGAATAAAAATTATGGGCAAGATTGAAAAAGCCCAAGAACTACCTCCAAAAACAGGCAGTGTACCTTAACTATGTTTTACTTGTTGCCCAGTAGGCATAGCTCAGGGGTTGAGCATTGACCTATGAACCAGGAGGTCAATGTTTGATTCCGGTTGCAGGCTCAATCTCCATTGTGGGGTGTGCAGGAGTCAACTGATCAATGATTCTCTCTTATCATTGATGTTTCTATCTCTCTTTCCCTCTCCCTTCCTCTCTGAAATCAATAATATATATATGCTTACATACAATAATAATGTTTATATATATAAAGAATTCTCTTAAAGTATTTTTTACTTGTTAATTTATTGATCAAATATTTATTAACTGCCTACTACATGCCAGGCATTGTCCTAGCCAGAAACTTTCCTTTATTTTTGCCTGTGTCCCCATGAATAGGTCAAAGGAGTAAGTCCACATATGCCAGAGCCTTCAACCTGGTTAAAGTATGTGGGACTTGAGCTGCCATATTTTAAGTTTTGGCTATGGCACCAACCAAACTTCCCAAGGTTGTTACTTTTCTATACCCCCTTAAAGGAGGTATATAATGTAGCTTTCGATCAGCAAATAACCACTGTGCCAAGATTTTGCTAATATAGGTACTTTATAGTGTGGGACAAGTGCTTATAGTTACACTTAATGGTTCACAAATGTTCCAAAGTATAAATCAACTTAACTTTAACAACTCATACAGCTTTCGTTGATGAAAAGGTAACTGATAGAATTCAACATCTACTCTTGACAAAATAAGAAATTAGTAATAAAAGAAAACTTCCTGAATACAATAAAGAATATTTATCTGAAACCAATGGACAAAAATAAGAGAAATTCTAGCAACTGAAACAAGACAGGGAGTGATGCTACCTATTATTTAACATTGTTCTATAACTTCTATCAATGTAAGACAAGAAAAAGAAATAAGTTATATGTTTTGAAGAGATAATTTTTGCTTTCCAAAAACACCTCTCATCAACACGCATTTCTGAGAAATTCCATTATGAAACAGAAAGAATGAGGTATCCTAACAAAAAAGGCAAATAAATCTTCAGTTAATCAGAATTTGTTAAATTTTTGATCAAATTTTGGAATTCTGAATACTTTTTTGTTCAATAGAGAAAGTGGGAACGATAACACATTTAGGCCTTCTACCATCGTGAAAAGTCTCTTACTCTTGATTAGTATGGCATCTTGAATTTTTAAAAAGTCTTTCTTTCATGATGTTGGGTCTTGCAATGTTCTATGACCATAATATATGGACTTCATAGTTATAATAAATTCTTTAAATTGATGTGAAAAATATTTCTAGTTCTGGTCACTGGGAATAGTAGTGAACAAAACAGATATTTTGCTCTCATGATCCTTACATTTTCTGACATTTAAACTACTCTTTTATTTCAACGTGTTTGTTTTGTAAATTGTTTTGGCTGCAAAAATAGTACTAGAATCAGTGATGGCGAACCTATGACACGCGAACTCATTTTTTTGGTTGATTTTTCTTTGTTAAATGGCATTTACATATGTAAAATAAATATCAAAAATATAAGTCTTTGTTTTACTATGGTTGCAAATATCAAAAAATTTCTATATGTGACACGGCACCAGAGTTAAGTTAGGGTTTTTCAAAATGCTGACACGCCGAGTTCAAAAGGTTCGCCATCACTGTACTAGATAATGTATTTGGATATTTGATGGTTTCATTAATTGAATTTTGATTAACTGAGATTTTATTTTATGATGGCTGCTTAGTAAACTTTCTGTGGATTGTGAAGGTAATGATAATGATTATGACAATAATGACCTCCTTGGTGAAATTATTGTTTTCCTGAGAAAGTACTTTGTTTTCTTCATAAATTGATAATAATGTACATAACAAGCCTGACAGGTCCCTGTGTTTGCCATGGGCATACATAGCAATAGTGTTGCGTCAGCTTTGTTTTCTTTTTTGTGGGAATTACAGCTTGGGTATGATCCTATGAAGGTAATTGTTAACTAGCTGCCTTGACAAATTTGACTTCTCAAAGTTATAGTTCAAGGGGGGAGGGATTAAGGAAAGATTATTTTAATCATTTTAGCTCTGTCTCCATAAGGTAGTTGATAGTAGCCTCTCTCTGAGCTTGGAGATTATAGAATAATATCATCAACTTGCTTTTGTATAACTCTTCACAGCCTTCAGTATTGCTTCATATATATTTTGCATTAGGTCCAAATAGAGAATAATTAAAATAGGCAGGGAAGGAATTACCATCTCTACTTTATAAAGAGGAAACTGAAACTCAGAAACATCTCTGCTGAGGTCTCACTGGCAGTTTGGTGAAGAGCAGAGGTTAGAACCCACGTCTTAGCCAAACAAGAGATGTCTGTTTTCAGGCACTGGCAACCTGTTGCAGAGCTGGCAGAGCCTGTTGTGGCTGGTTACACAACTCTGGGGGCATTGCTAAACATTAAGAAACAATCTACGCTCTGCAACTGACTGCTGAGATTGGGGAAGAACTGCAAAACACCCCTTTAAAGCAAAAGTGCTAACACGTTATTTTTGCCACTAAACAAAATCCTATGTAAAAGTGCTACCGTTTTTCCTGATTAAAAAATAAATTAGGAGAAAAATACAGAACACAAAGAAGAAAGTGAAAATACTTATCCACCACTAAAACCTTAGCATATGTGACATTAAGGTGCTTATCTTTTCTGTGTACATAATTTTTAATAAAATAAGATAAGATATACTATAAATATTGCTTAGCAATCTGCTTTTTTTTTTTTTTGGCTTAACACTGTATCATGAACATTTCTATAAGTTAAATAATGTTCTGCCCAGCTGGCAGGGCTCAGTGGTTGAGCTCTGTATGAACCAGGAAGTCATGGTTTGATTCCCTGTCAGGGCACATGTCTGGGTTGCAGGCTCGATCCCCAGTAGGGGGTGTGCAGGAGGCAGCTGACCAATGATTCTCTCTCATCATTGATGTTTCTATCTCTCTCTTCCTCTCCCTTCTTCTCTGAAATCAATAATAAAAATATATTTTAAAACACACACAAATCTTTGCTTTGAAATAATGTTCGTTTGAGAAAAATATTTTAATATTTATCCTTTTGTTATAAAATTAATACAGGCTCATTGTATAAAGTCCAAACAATATACAGCTCTACTCTTATTAACAGCACATATAATGCTTGTTCCTGCCCACCTGTCCCTATAGGACCTCTAGTTTTACCACCTTAAAAGTCTTCCCAGGGAACCCCTCAAGGGGTGCCTCACATGTGCTGGCTCTTGTGGAGATAGGTATGTTCTTTTAAGCAGTGACTCATGGAAGATGAAGGCCCCTTCAGGCCCAGGTGATCAAGGGAAGCAGGGGGTTGGGAGGCGGAACATCCTCCATTCTGCAGGCAGGATTCCACATGGCAGCTGGGGGAGCATCAGGGAACAGCATCTTTGTCGTGGTTTCTGGCGTTCTCAAGGTGGGTACCTGCAGAATTGGGGAGAGGGTCCTTCTGAGGACCGTGGACAGAAGTGACACACTGAGGGCAGTCGAAGTCGGGTAGGTGGGAAGGCAAGGCAGTAGACAGCAATCATATGAGCATGGTACATGCTGGAAGCAGCTGTAAAGAGGATCGATGTTTGGCCCAGCTCATTCCACCTGATCTTGGGAAATAATATAACCAGGTGAGAGTTTAGGCCAGTGTTTCTCAACATATGTTGCTGGGACTATATGTATCACAGTAATTTAGAGGACTTGCTACAAATGTGGATGAGTTGCATCCTTATTCACTCCAAAGTGAATACCACTCAAGTCATTTTGTCTGAATGCCTATAGACATTCACAGCTGATTACATCCATTTTGTACTGTATTTTATTATTTTTTATTATTTCCTAATTGTTTAATGTGTATGTGAGGTCCCTGTAGTTTTGTCTTACACCCACAGTGCCTGAGTATTTCAAAACTGGGTAAATTCAAAATTTAAAAAAAAAGTCTTATCCCTGTCTTATAGTTCTGAATTAAAAAATATACACCAAAAACTGGTGAGTGGTAATTAAGGGCTTAGACCATGTTTCTATTCTATTAAAGAAAAATTCCCACATGTAACTGGAAATAAGATTAGAAGCATTAGAAGAATGATAGAGTGAAACTTTTGATTATGTATGTAAATATTTAAAAAATCTTCCTACTAATAAGCCTTTTCTCTCCCCAGATATTAAACTAACCATGAAGAAAAATATTATCAATACACAGCATTCTTTCATAAACATTCCCAATGTGATTGTCCCAGATATGGAAAAGAAAATAAGAAGGATGGAAAATGGAGCATGCAGGTAACTCCATTCATTTTTCCATGTATTTTTAATGGAGCTCTTAAATTTCAATTTAACTTTAAAAAATTATTTTTAATCCTTACCTAAGAGAGAGGAAGAGAGAGAGAGAGAGAGAGAGAGAGAGAGAGAGAGAGAGAAAGAAACATCAATTGGTTGCCTCCTGTACATGCCCCAACTGGATGGAACCCTCAACCTTTTTGGTGTGTGGGACCGTGCTCCAGCCAACTGAGCTACCCAGCCAGGGCTCAATTTAACTTTTAATTTGTAACCTTGAACTTTATAATTTATTTAATTATAATTTATTTAATTATAAACTTTGAAACAGCATAACTTGTACAACAAATAAACAGAGATATTTTGTGCTCATTTAGAAACCCCTATGCCAAATATTTTCCTAGTCACTGGCAAGACCTTTCCTCATGAGACATTTCAATTCTAAAGGGATAACATTGCCATAGATACATGTGAAAAAATACAATGTGAAATGCTAGCACGTTTTAAAAGTATAATTTAAAGCAGTTACTCTATTTCTACAAATGAAGAGAACATGTATACATGTGGTTGAATATATTTTTAATGGTAGGAATCCTATCTAATAAAAGCTTAATATGCTAAGTGTCTGGTCATCCATTCGCCCATTCAACCAATCAAAGTGTAAAATGCTAATGATATGCTAAGGCCACTCAACCACTCACTATGACGTGCACTGACCACCAGGGGGCAGACGCTCCAACCGGTAGGTTAGCTTGCTAATGGGGTCCCATGAATCAGGACTGAGTGAGACAGGCCGGACACGCCCTGGAGCCCTCCCGCAGTCCCTCCCTGACTGGCCAACCTCCCACATCCCTCCCCAGCCCCAATCATCCACCAGTGGGGTCCCTCGGCCTGATCTGTGCCCTCTCACAATCTGGGACCCCTCAGGGGATGTCAGAGAGCCGGTTTTGGCCTGATCCTGCAGGCCAGGCTGAGGGACCCCACTGGTGCACAAATTCGTGCACTGGGCCTCTAGGATTTTTATAAACTAGTCCATATTCCTGTATATGACCTAGAAAGTATTTTCTTAATTACATGTATCTCACTGAATTGTGGTTATAATTCTTTGTATTCTGTACAGTTCTCATTTCACTCTAATTAAAAGTTGCTGTGTGTGTTAGTTTGAGTGGGAAGGAAGAGGGGTAAGGGTCCCCCTAATGAGAACTGGCATTCCTCCATATCAGTTTAGAGCAAGCATGTCAAAGTCACAGGCTAACACGGGCCAAATAAACAAGGTTTAAGTTTATGTGGGCAGCAAAAAAAAAAAAGCTTCAATTTTCATAGAAACGTAGGTTTATTTCAATAGCGACATGCTGAATACAAAGAGCTGAAATAAATTAGTAATCGTTAACATAAAATAATAGAACATTTTAATAAAAATTAATATTTTTTCTTGAACATTAACTTACCAGACACTGAATAACTGCACAAATTAATAAGCGTAACGCAAATAAACCTATTTTCTTGTTCTCTGAAAGCAAACTATTTCCTGTTGCGCACACCAAACAAGTCAGTCCAAGACTAATGACATGGCAATCGGCTGCTAAAATATTTGCTGCTGATATTAGTGTAGAGAAATGGTGCACCTGCACGTAAGGCACGTAAGGGAAACGAATGCAATATGATTACGTATAGTAATCAGTCATTAGCGAACGTTGTAGCTCGTTATTAATAATTATGTATAACAGAATATTGTAAAAATTAAGTTACAAAATTTTTATTAAAACAGTTCTGACCGTTATATTGGCTGGGCCACAAAAATATTCCTTGTGGGCCGCGAGTTTGACATGCTTGGTTTAGAGCATTGCTCTAATTCATCTCTCCCTCCCATTGGACCATAGCTCCTTTTCTGACGACGATGATGACAGTGCCTCTATATTTGAAGACTCCGAGAGTGAAAACCCCTGTGCAAGGGATTCCTTCAGAAATAGTTCACGCAGGAAGGGAGGACTATCACAGAGGTGAGCAATCTGATCTATTCCCCCATACTGGTTTTTTTTTCTTTTCCCCATACTGGTTTTTAAACCATTGTTTAGATGAAAAAAGATCTCCTTTTAGTGGACTTGGCAAATGGTCCTGCTCCCTCATCACTATGCAGGATCTCAGGAGGAACTCGCTACTTCTTTTCTTGGGAGACTGCTACTACCTGATGATTATTCATGTCCGTGGGGCTCCAAGTCATACCCTTGCTGATCATTTTCCCTGAGACACATGTCCCTTAAGAAGCCTCATGCCCCAGTCCTCTCTGATTTCCTCCTTCTCTCTGATCCTTCTTCTAGGGCCCTGAAGTAGTTTAGCTCTGTTTGTCTCCATAAGAAAGTGTTTTAAACTTGGCTGTCATTTTTTACAACCCCATTTGACTTTCCTTTCAGAGAAGTAGAGCACTGGAGTGAGTAGCTAGAAGAGAAAAGCTTAAAATCCTTCGTAGGGAATAAGTAATCATGGAAACTTCAAACATGCTACTCTGAGGGTGTGGAAGCTGTGTGTGGTGGTGTGGGTCAGGGGTTGCCATCCTGTGGAACATAATCAATTTTTATTTGCTGTTTGTCCCTCCTTTTTTTCCTTCTCTCCTATTTCTCTTTTCACTGACTACCCCCAGTTTTTCCACTATTTCCATTTGCCTTTCTTTCCCTTCCTATCTTCCTAAGTGCAAGTCTCAGGTCTCTTGCTGGGAGTTAGCAGAATCCAGTTGGCTCAGTGGAGACCAATAAGGATGCTACTTCTCATTGATCAACAGGCGTTTACTAATCACTTTGGTTCATGGCATGATATTTGGTAGCTCATGCTCCATGGAGGCTCTATATTTTCAAAACTTGTCTAGACAATCATTAGTAATAAGTAGAAACTGAAAAAAAGTTGTTCTTTAAGACTGTGTGCTTACCATAGACATTATATGGATGGTGACTACTATGATTTCACTGTACTTTTTCATTCACTAGGGAACAATACCTGCCTGGTGTCATCGCACTTTTCAATGTTAACAACAGCAGCAATAAGGAACAGTAAGTATATTTACAATAGAAAACTACTAGTAAAGCTTGTTTTTAACGAAAACCGTGAAAAGGTATCTGAAACTGTTTTAGGGCAGATATTAGGCAAACTCTACCTAACACAATGACATTGATATTCTGTCACTTTATTGTTTGTTTATGTACTTCTGAAAAATGTAGCTACATACTATTAAAAGTAGTATGTATATATGTATGCATGTGAGCATTTCAATACTGTGAATTGCTATTATGGGCTCCATCTCTCTTTGAAGGGTAAGCATTGCCACTAGTCTGTTCTTCTAGATCCTGTCATCCCTATTGCTCTTGGGGAGCCCCGTTCTGTACCAGCATCTCCTATTATCAGCTCTGGCCTACAGAAGACAGTACCACTGAACTTCTCAGTGATGCTGGTGCCCCTCTCACCTGCACTTTTCAGATCATTTTTGTATTCTTTGAGCATTCTTAGGGAACCTAAGCAACTAGTGGGCTATCTCCCTTATGTAGGACTAGAGGCCCAGTGCATGAAATTTGTGCACTCGGGGGGAGGAGGGGAAGTCCCTCAGCCTGGCCTGCACCCTCTTGCAGTCTGGGAGCCCTCGGGGGATGTCTGATTGACAGCTCCGTGGGAAGCAGGCCTAAACCGTTAGTTGGACATTCTTAGTGCTGCCACAAAGGCAGGAGAGTCTCCCACTACCACCACTGCACTCGCCAGCTGTGAGCCCAGCTTCTGGCTGAGCGGCACTCCCCCTGTAGGAGTGCACTGACCACCAGGGGGCAGCTCCTGCATTGAGCCTCTGCCCCTGGTGGTCAGTGCACATCATAGCGACTGGTCTTTCCGCTGTTCAGTCGATTTGCTTATTAGCCTTTTATTATATAGGATACCCATTTTAGCATACCACTCTCTGAGCCTTTTTGATACCTTCTTCAACCATCTGGCGTGGCATTTTGTAATTTCTATTTCACTTGGTGTGAGTCCTCACCTTTTCTGAGCTTCCAAGAGCCATCTGAGCAGTGTGTGAGCACCCCCTTTCAGGATCGATGCTAGGGTGTTCAATCCTGACTCACAGGAGTGAGTTCCCAAAGAGAGAAATTCTCCCCTTTTCAACTTTATGTTCTGTTCCCATTTGACAGGATGACCTTAGATACCAAACCTCACTTGTCAATTTTATCTCCTATTTCTCCTCAATTGCAGCTTTCCACTTCTGGTCATTTGTACCCAGATGAAATTTGTTTGTACATTTGTACCTACAAATTTCCTCCCTTTAACGTCCTCCCTCTTCTCAACTTTTCCAACTCTTGCTCATACTTTGAGGCCTAGGTTTAGACCTCCCTCCCTCTAACAGCCTTCTCTGACAATCCTGTGGTAATGAGATGCCTGTTCTTTCATGTGCCAATAGTAAATCTTACCAAGACATTGGCGCCAACAATGGCAACCTACTGAGACCTTGGGTCTGGCTGTCTGACTCCAGAATCCTTTTTCTGCTCACGGAGAAGACCAATCATAGAAAGAGGCCTCTAATCACTCAGGAAGCAATTGTATATAGAAAAATATCTCAAATTTAATGAATGATTCTAAGAATTAGGATTCCACTAGGTTACCACAGAGCTTTTTGACTGCTCATAAAATAATTGCTTCAGGCAGAATTAATATCTACAACAATTGATGGTATTTTCTTGAAATTCTCAAAGCTCTTTTTTTTTAGAAGTTTTTTTAAAATATATTTTATTGATTGTTTACAGAGAGAAAGGGAGAGGGATAGATAGTTAGAAACATCGATGAGAGAGAAACATCGATCAGCTGCCTCCTGCACACGCCCTACTGGGGATGTGTCCACAACCAAGGTACATGCCTTGACCGGAATTGAACCTGGGACCCTTGAGTCCACAGGCTGATGCTCTATCCATTGAGCCAAACCGGTTAGGGCTCAGAAGTTTATTTAAGTTTACGCTTTCAATGACCACGGTAACTAAATGTTATTTGACATAATAAAACAGCTCCATAATTTCTTCCTATAATGAGTAGAACTCTAGCAGTTACTACAGCGGGCGTGCTGGGGCTGTGGTCTCTTCTCCGTGTCCCTCATGGAGGGGGAGACTTGAAACGGTTCGAGCAACCTAGGAGGCACTTTCGGGATTAAAGAATAATGAAAGACAGACATAAAATAGATTAAAAGCTTGGGCTGGGTGTGGTGTCTGCCTTCTGACTCGAGGGACAGGCAGAGAGAGCCTGCCCTCTGGAGGGACAGGCACAGAGAGCTCAAAGCTCTTATTTAAGGGTAAATATAAGTAATATCAAGACTCCTAAAATTGAAAGAATTTTAAAAATATATATTGAAACTTTAAAAGTACATTCTTTTAGGGGCTATTGTTTCTTAAATTTCTCTCCTTGGGTTTATGCCTTTACCAGCTCCATTTTCTTCAGTTTTCCACATTCACCCACCCAGGAATTATTCTTTGTTTCCCTTGTTACCTGGATGCATGTGCATGTTAGTAGAACTCTCCAGTAGGAGACCAGATTTCTGGCTTCAAAGCACAGGGGCAGGCCTTTGAATACAAAGCTGAGAATTATTGCTCAGTGGAGAGAAAAATAAATAAAAATGGAAGTCAGAATGGAATTTGACTATGTGACGGAGATATTGTTTCTTCTCTAGAGAGCCAAAAGAAAAAAAGAAAAAGAAAAAAGAAAAGAAGAGGTAAGTGAGACTTCCACAGTTTTCTGCCCATGACATGTTTTGCATTTTAATACTAACTAAATATCTCACCTTTTTCAGCAAGCCAGATGACAAAAATGAAAATAAAAAGGACCTAGAGAAGAAAAAGAAAAAAGAAAAGGACAAAGAGAAGAAAAAGAAAGAGGGAAAGAAAGACAAAGATAAGAAAGAAGAGTAAGTTTTTTTACTCTCATTGAAATCAGGAATGCACTGGTGACGGGTTTTGGATCCAGGGGAAATTTCCTGAAACTTTATAGTAAAGAGGCCCTCTGTGAAGACTAAATAAATTGTTATTAAATGTAGTTTAACTTTTTTCTTATTTTCTTAAAATTAACAGCAGAAGCCTTCGTCTTAGTTTTCTCATCAAGAACTTTCGTTGTTATCATTAATTCCCTTCCTCAGACCCTGATAAAGATAAACTTACTACTGGGAGATAGTTAGGCTCCTAGGAGAATAGGATTCCTAGGATCTTCCCATCAATTTAAAATATTGAAATATAAATTCAATAATTTCATTAACATTTTTACAGAATGAACACTGTATGGGAAATACTCCAAAGTAAAGGAATCTCCTTGCAAAAGCCATGCCTAATTTCAAAAACAAAAACACCAGCCATTTGAATGATCCTTTTTAAACATTTGAGAATTGGAATTGCACAATGATAAGCCTGAGTCTATACTGTTGTCATAATCTGGTTATTCTTTAACAGGGAAGGAGTAAAGGAAGACTAGATAACATAGGCGTGCCATTCATACAGCTTTGCTAATTTAACACTCTCCAAGTCTAGTTCCCGAGGATCAGTGGGGGAAGGGACTGGCCAAAGGCAGTTTGGACACATGCCCAGTAAGGTCTGAGTGACGAAGAAGGTGCTTGTATGGCAGTCACTCCTGGAAGTGAGGCTGTGCTCAGAGTAGGTGTAGCCGCCAAGAGGGTGAGAAACCTGACCACTTAAACTCCTAGACAAAGGAGCACACACTCTTGGCTCTTGGCCGTCTTGGGACTGCTGTTCCAGGGAGTACACTCCCTGCATTTGCAGGAGCCTTAGTAATGTAAGACTCCATACAATGGACTAATGGGCTTTAATTAACCTGATGCTGGACTGGTCCCAGCTGCAACTTGGAATGAAAGCTCTGGACACTGGCCTTGCTTTGGCTTTGCTGAACCCACAGCTGCCCCTCCTTCAGGACTGGCTTAAGGGAAATGGGACATTGGAGGCTGAGGAATATAACTCCACACAAATAAAGTCTTCTAACCGCACCTCATCCTCCTGTGGGAGCTTCTGAAAGTGCTCATTTCAGTGGTATCCCAAGAACCCCACTCCCATGGCAATGGAGGAATCCCACTCCTGTACTCCTCTGGTAGCAGAGTGATAGTTGCAAAGCTCTTTTTGCTTTTTATTAAAGGAAAAATTGTTTTCTAAACTTACTTAAAACTCTTTACCAGGCAATGGTTCAATTATTGGTGCCTGTTAGAAAGTTGTTGAAGTTTGTATAAAGAAAAAAGTCCTTAAAAGTATAGGCTTGATACTAAAAGAAAGTTAAAAATTTTTATTTGAACATATATTTTCTTCCTCCCTTCCTCTTGCCCACAATTGCCTCTCTTAGTCCTCTGTACATGCTTATGAATATGCATTTTTATTAGATTGTGTTATATTCTTCTTTCCTACAGATTAGAAAGAAGGCATGAGTTCTCCCCTTACAGTGTAGTTCCTGGTTGTTTTGTTACCTGGTAGGGGGCATAGCAAAGCCAGCATTCTCCCACCACCTATACCTTACCAAAGGGTTCTGTGACATGTCCAGGGTTTGGCATGATCTATGCCATGATTCCTTCTTTGTGGCTGAAGAGATAGCAGTGTCTACAGCATCGCAGTAAAACAAGGGCTTTAATTAAAGTTTAAAATATGGTTTAATGTAAGACTAGTAACTTAACTACCTAGCCACCCTTCACTAACTAGTTTCTTATAACTAGTGCACTTATGCCAAGCTAACCTTCCCACTGTAGAGTGACCTTCTCCAGCTTCCTTCTCTTTTGTTAATTGTGGGGGATGGGCATTGTCATATTAGACAGGTGAAACTGAAATGTTTTTGTTTCTTGGTGACTTTCCCCTCTGTGTGTGATTGCTGCTAGGGAGAAGAAAGAAGTCATGGTGATTGATCCCTCGGGAAACACATACTACAATTGGCTGTTTTGCATCACCTTACCCGTCATGTACAACTGGACTCTGATTATTGCAAGGTCTCTATATATTTTTGTGGATCTCAGCTCACTCTCAGTTTTCAAGTTAACTGACTTAACTGTTTGGCCTAGAGCTCTTCAGGACATCCCTCTTTTCTTCACCACAGGTTGTAAAGAGACTCTATGTTGTTCTCAACGTGTTTTCCTAAGATCAGGACTAGGTGCTTTCCTTCCCAATATACTTGGAAATCCAGTAGCAGGATGGAGGGGTGAAGAGGATACTTTTAAATTTTTGATCGCCCAATCATTTAATTAGAACTTTGGGGGATTTTTTTTCCCTATGAGAAAACTTTTGCCAAGAGTAGAAAAAGATCAAGGACCTAGATTGGTTTAGAACCAGGTGTGTTTCCCAAATGATTTCTATGGTTCCCTGTCTTTTAGCCAGTAAACAGTTCAGCCATCCAGAACCAAGCATAATTTCGTGAAGCATTTTGGGCGCTGACAGTCAGTATGAACCTGGTTATTAATGTATATGACCCAGTGTATTTGACTTTAGCTCTAGGTCATTTATTCTTATTTGATGTTTTCATAAAGCTAACTGGTATAATGGCAAGAATGTTGAAATTCAGAAGTGTGAGAAAACTAATCCAACCACTCCAATTTGGGAAAGATTCAATGGCTTCTAAGGACCCCTCCTAGTCTTATACTTCTCATCATGAGAAAATTACACAAAGAGGACTTTTACTGAAATGGCTCCCATTTTATTTATATAAATTTTTTTTTACAGAGCATGTTTTGAGGAACTCCAGTCTGATTACCTAGCGTATTGGCTCGTTTTTGATTACTTGTCAGATACAGTCTATCTTCTCGATATGATTGTACGAACCAGGACAGGTAAATATGTTCAGTTTGGGACATTTTGCAATTTCATGTTTTGATATCTATAATATAATTTGAAATTTTCTAATGAAAGCATTCTTCAAAATAACTCACAAAAACCTGTTTTAGAGAACAAAACACAGTTGAAAGCAAGAATACCATATTCCCACCCACAGGCTCAGTTCGCTCCAACGGATTCAGAAGGGATGTTTCTAGGCAACCTTTCAAATGTGATTGGTGGCTTTCCTCTGTTACCCTGTTCATTGGGTTTATGCCAGGTGAAAGGAATAGAAGAGAGCAGAAATCATCTGTCAGCCCTGTGAGGAAAGGCTACCTAACAGAGAGATTAAAGAAGCATGGAGGGAAATGTCATTGAACCCAGCAGAGCTGTATTAGAAATTTTGTAAGAAACAGAACACACATCCTTAACTCAATATGTGATCCATGGTGAGGCATTATTGACCAGGGGGAAGAATCTAATAACTACCTACATCAAGTACTCTTATTAAGTAGATATAAACTCATTGTTTCTACACTGTTTCCACATGCAAATGTAACCAGTGAACACAGAGCGTTGCAGTTGTTGTGTCCTATTTGCAGCTCTGATAGTCGGTATAAGAGGAAGAACAAATGGTTTTCCTAGTGAAATGTATCAGAGTGCTGAAATTCTGGATTTAATTCACCAGCCCATGGTAGCAGTGTAGGAGAAGGGAAAATCACACATGTCTAAGGAATGCTAACACCAAGGACACTTATGCTTCACATTGAAGGAGCAAGGAAAGAATATTCACAATGGTACCCAAGTTTCAAGGGTAAGGTTGGGGTTTTGTCAAGAGAGTAGCCTGAGGTATGAGCACAGTGCTTAGGGGGCCAGGAGACTTTCCAAGAACACTGTTCATAAAAGCGGTGGCTTTGCCTGGATGGAGATACTGATCTACAGAGATTTGTATATATACGTTGCATATAATTTCTCACTTTTGCACTTACAAAGTTTTACTTTTTATTTCTACAACAGAGTATGTTCCATAGCTATATGTTGATTGTTACTCATATCATACTACATTGCTAAAAGCATATTTATTGAAAGTGATTTCTTGTTTTGAGCTCAATCAAGTTTATTGAGAGTTACTTCAGAAAAATTCACAATAGCATAAAAAGAAAAAAAACATTAAATTGATTTTTTTCTATTTTAGGTTACCTAGAGCAAGGACTGCTGGTGAAGGAAGAACTTAAACTCATAGAGAAATATAAATCAAACTTACAATTTAAACTTGATGTTCTATCAGTGGTACCAACCGATCTGCTATATTTTAAGCTGGGGTGGAACTATCCAGAAATTAGATTAAACAGACTCTTAAGGATCTCTCGAATGTTTGAGTTCTTCCAAAGAACAGAAACAAGAACTAACTACCCAAACATCTTCAGGATTTCTAACCTTGTTATGTACATCGTCATCATTATCCACTGGAACGCATGTGTGTACTACTCTATTTCCAAAGCTATTGGATTTGGAAATGATACCTGGGTCTATCCTGATGTTAATGATCCTGAATTTGGCCGTTTGGCTAGAAAGTATGTCTATAGCCTTTACTGGTCTACACTGACTTTGACCACCATTGGTGAAACACCACCTCCTGTGAGGGATTCTGAGTATGTCTTCGTGGTGGTTGATTTCTTAATTGGAGTATTAATTTTTGCTACCATTGTTGGTAACATAGGTTCTATGATTTCCAACATGAACGCAGCCAGAGCAGAATTTCAAGCAAGAATTGATGCCATCAAGCAATATATGCATTTTCGAAATGTAAGCAAAGATATGGAAAAGAGAGTTATTAAATGGTTCGACTATCTGTGGACCAACAAAAAAACAGTTGATGAGAGAGAAGTTTTGAAGTACCTACCTGATAAGCTAAGAGCAGAGATCGCCATCAGTGTCCACCTGGACACATTAAAAAAGGTGCGCATTTTTGCCGACTGTGAGGCTGGTCTGTTGGTGGAGTTGGTCCTGAAATTACAACCCCAAGTCTACAGTCCTGGAGATTACATTTGCAAGAAAGGCGATATTGGACGAGAGATGTACATCATCAAGGAAGGCAAGCTCGCTGTGGTGGCAGATGATGGAATCACTCAGTTTGTGGTATTGAGTGATGGCAGCTACTTCGGTGAGATCAGCATCCTTAACATTAAAGGCAGCAAAGCTGGCAATCGAAGAACGGCCAATATTAAAAGCATTGGCTACTCAGATCTGTTCTGTCTCTCAAAAGATGACCTCATGGAAGCTCTAACTGAGTACCCGGATGCCAAAGGTATGCTAGAAGAGAAGGGGAAGCAAATCTTGATGAAAGATGGTCTGCTGGATGTAAATATCGCGAATGCTGGCCATGACCCCAAAGATCTTGAAGAGAAGGTCACCCGAATGGAAGGGTCAGTAGACCTCCTGCAAACAAGGTTTGCTCGGATCCTGGCTGAGTATGAGTCCATGCAGCAGAAACTGAAGCAAAGACTCACCAAGGTTGAGAAATTTCTGAAACCACTTATTGAAACAGAGTTTTCAGCCATTGACGGATCTGGAGTTGGAAGTGGGCCCACAGACTCCGCACAGGACTGAAGAGCTAGCTGTTCGCAAGGACGCACCTCATGATCCTTTCGGTGATGTGACTAAGTGATGATTAAGTTGGAAGAAGAGGAAGGTGCAGCTGGGGGATTTTCCATGAGGAAAATGTGCTTTGGTGCAGGGCACAAGGCCAACACACTTGCGTGTAAGGTACTGTGATTAAAGAATCATTGTATCTTGGGATTTTCCACTATGGACAATGTGCAAAGGTATAACTGATTAACTTGTCAGTATCTACATCTTTTGATCTCCCCCCCCCCCCACATAGGCTCCCTTCGTGTAACAATATTTATAAAAGGGAACAAGTGTCCCTCACTTTCTGGCAATTTACATGGTTGAGGAGTAACTGGGAAGAACCATGCACATCATGTTCAGAATACAACTTAAAAAGAATTAGAATGCAATAAAGAGAAATAAATTCTCAAACTATAGTGACTATTCTTTATTTAATAATTTAGTAGGGAGTTTAGGATCTTATAGAGCTTCAGGGTCATTTTAAGGATATTAAGTGTCATACTCTAGGCTTAGAAAGATTGGTTGAGAGAAATTTCTTACTGATAAAAGAATTACAAATCAGACTTTACTGTACAAATATATGCATAAATGTTATATATAAAAATAGAACATTAAAATTAAAACATTTTGTAAGATTTTTAAATAATAAATTAAAAAATTTTTTCTGGTTATTTAAGGCCTGACAGCAGTAGCTACTATCCTTCTCTGACTGATCAATAGAAAAGAGATAAAGGTAATAATATTGCTGGGTGATTAACAAAGGAAGCTGTTGTAAAGTTTGACAAGGAAACCTGGGAGTTTAATGGATCAGCATGGGCATCACCTGGGAGCTTCTTAAAAACTCAGAATCTCAGGCCTGCCAACTGTGTCCGAAACTGCATTTTAGCAAGACTGTTAGGTGATTAACACCCACATTAAAGCTTGAGAAGCACCTATCTAGAGAACCAGGAAGGAGTAAATGGGAGGATGGTTCTAGAAAAGAAAAGAGACAAGTATGACAAGCATGTGGCCATAGAAGATATTGCTAATTCATCACACAGCTCTTACTGCTGAACCCAGCCATGTTTCAAAATATTCTTCCTAATACAGATTACAGGAATTAATAAAAGATTTCTATCCCTGCCTAAAATAATATGATTTAATGTAGCTCCGTGTTAATTTAACATATCGGATATTTATATAGACTCCAATCAGTGTAGGTCAATGATAGATTTATTCTTCTCTACCTACAGAATACCCATTGAACTATATACATTATGTCTTTGCAGCCTTAAGTTTCCCTTCTACATTTTGCCTGTCTCTTCAATAACAGCTGGCAAGAATTTCTTTACTGTAGAAGTGGCTAGTCCTGGAGTGGGAGGGCCGTAGACAATATGTAACATGGCTTCTGCCTGAGACAGGTGCTCCTTTTTCTCTCTGATTCTTATCATTCCTTTGCTTCATCTGCATTTTCTTCTTTTCTTTGTGCTCTTTCTTGCCTGTCATTCAAACCTCTGAGACCGTAAAGAAGTTTGCTGGCTACTCATGTCAGGCAGATGTGGTAAGACAGGAATGAGTGAGGGTTACACACCTGGAGAAGCAACCCCAATCACAGCATCCAGGAGTGGGCACTTTGAGTCTGATCTGGGCTGGAGACGTATCTTAGGGTTCTGACTTGATGACCTTTGACGCAAAGCTCTGTGAGTCTTGCTTTGCTCGAATTGGATGGTGGTAGATTCTTGGTTTACTAAAGACTTGGGGTAAGTAGGGTTTAGCCAATTCTTTTCTCACAACTTTCCCAAGTAGAGACTTTGACAGTTGGTGGTGAGTGCTCCAGTTTAGATACCTGGAGGGCAATACAGATGTTCACAACTGGGTTTCAGCTTCATTAGGGAATATTGTAAAAAGACAGAAAACGTGGCTTTGGGGAGACCCATGGTGACGTGCTGACCCGGGTACATGTGGCTGCCAATGCAGGAGCTCACCTTTTAGAAATCCAGAGACCAGCCATATTCCAGGCTGATTCTAGTCCCCAAATGTTTGTCTAGCACTAGCTTCTTAATATATTAAGACTAGGACAGGCTTGGCATAAGGACAAGGGAGGGCTGGCCGGAGTTTGAAGATCTTTAATGATTGCATCTGGGAGATGAGAGAGAATGCTGGGACTCAGGGGTGCCAGATAGCGAGGGAGTAGAAAGCCAATCACCAATCTTGCCAGTGTGTCTGATGAGTGTCCCCCAGCTCTACCATAATGTCAGGTCCTCATAAGAAGAGAATGCGCAGAGTTTTGCATTTTTTTAAAAAACCAACTTGAAATATGTTGTGATTAGGCTTCTTACCATTAGGTGGCAATGTTGGTCTACAATGATTACCTTCAAAGCCTGAAGCTGAATATTTTTCTCCATAGAAATTATAGGTAGTAAAATCAGAGCTCTTCGGCAATAATGGGTAATTTTTTTTGTCTAAAGTGGATATTTCTAAAAGATTTTAGTATACCCAAATATGTACCAGCCTTAAATAAAAATATGGTCAAGTAGAATTTAAAATGCAAGGTAAATTGAAGCATTTTAATAGTTCTTAATTTCAGGAAGCTCACCAAGGCAATCATGATAATTATATTACAGGAAGCTTTAAAAAATGTGTAAGATGTGTATTAGAGGGAAAAAGGGGGAGGAAGGAGCAAGCAGCAATTATATTGTGATTCAATTTATATATATATTTAAAAGTCCATTGTTTTAAAAAGTTTGAAAACCACTGACTTATATCAGCAGCGTTGGAAGTATGCCTGGCTAGGACACTGTCAGTTTAGGTGATATTTGCCCTCACCACTAATGAAATTGTATTATTGGATGTCCTAGTTTTTAGACGTAAGAATTTAAAAATACCCAACAATAGGCTTCTAGACTCAAATAAAATAATTCGCTATTCACTGGATTAGTTTGTCTCTAGCTGAAGGGAGGGAGTAGGAAATTCACAGAAAGGGAATCAGAGAATATAGAAAGTGCAGAAAGACCCCGGAAATTATCTAGTTCACTCCTTCTCATGTTATAAATACAAGATGATGATCAGGCAACACTAAAACTGGTGAGAACAAAGACTATTAGGAATTTTGAGAGTGGAAATTTTTACTGTATGTTGGACAATGATATGGTAATATCTGCTACAGCACAAAGTTGAGCTCACCTAAAACCCAGACATTTCATTCTTAGGCATAGCCACTAGAGAAAATTGTCCACATATCCACAAGGAGACATGTTGAAGAATCTTTATAATAATGATTTAAAAAGAAACAACCTAAATGTTCATCAAAAGGAAATTAGATATAGACCTGGCTAGGCTGCTCAGTTGGTTGGAGTATCGTCCGTACACCAAAAATGTTGCAGGTTTGATTCCAGTCAGGGCACATACCTAGGTTGCCTCCTCAGGTGAGGATTACAACATTTTTTAAAGGGAGGTTAGATATATCAATTGGAATACATTCATATAACGAATGCTATAAAATCATTTAAATAGTCGCAGATAACACTTATATAGTGCTTAGTATGTACCAGTTACTGTTCCAAGTACTCCCCAGATGTCAATACATCTAATCTTCATGACATCTTACAAGGTAGGTTCCTTTATGTTCCTTGTTTAATAAATAGGGAAATGGAGGCACAGAATGGTTAAGTAATCTGCCCAAGACCCACAGGAAGGAAGTGACATAACCACTATTTGAACCTAGACAGTGGGGCTCCAGGGTGCCTGCTCTTAACCCTTTCATTAGTGCTGACTCTTGTATGTGCATATAAATATCATCTATACAAAATTTACAAACACCCAACACAATGCTAAATAGTGTTTATGGATCTGTACCTATGATCTAGAAGTTTAATAACAGTCATGAGAATGGTTGACAGCAAAAATCAGATTAATAGTTACTTCTATGGGGAAATGGAGGGAATGGGATGGGATGGAGGGTGAGAAATTCATAGGACTTTAACTGTCTGTGCTGTTTTATATCTTTTAAAACAATCTGAAAAAAAATGAATCCAAATGTTAAGATTGGATAAACCTAAGTAAGATATACACTGAGTGGCCAAATTATTATGATCACCCCATCGGTACTTCGTTGGGCCACCTCTTGCCTTCAATACTGTGGCGATTGTTCTTGGCATTGACTCCACGAGATGTTGAAAGGTGATGCGAGGAATCTGACACCATGCCTGATGAATAGCACTGTCCAGTTCTGTGAGATTTGATGGTTGTTGAACCAGCTGCCTGATGGCTCTTTTAACTTCGTCCCACAAATGCTCAATTGGATTGAGATCTGGTGATTGTGGGGGCCACCTAAGCAAGGTAAAGTCTCCCTCATGTTCTTGAAAGCACTCCTGCACAATATGAGCACCGTGGCATGGCGCATTGTCTTGTTGGAAGAAGCCATCTCCATTGGGATATGCCATCAACATGATAAGATGAACTTGATCAGCAATGATACTTAGGTATGTTGTGCTATTCAGACGTTGTTCCACACGAATTAAAGGGCCCAAATCATGCCAGGAAAACATGCCCCAAACCATAACACTGCCCCCACCAGCCTGAAGGGTTGTACTCATGCATGTGGGGTGCATGCTTTCATGCTGTTTCCGCCAAATTCTCACTGCCATCTGCATGATGCAACTGGAAACGTGATTCATCGGACCACATGACTTTTTTTCCCAATGCTCAACTGTCCAATCCTTGTGTTCCTGTGCGAATTGTAGACATTTTATCTTGGTAACTGCAGACAGCAAAGGTTCGAACAGGCCTTCAGCTTCCATATCCCATACGATGCAGTGTACAGCTAATTTGCCTACAAATGTCAGGTGGTCATAATAATCTGGCCATTCAATATATATATAATCTTTCTATAATCTTTGCTATATTTGAACTTTTCAAAAGAAGAAGAAGAAAAAAAGAGAAGTAGAGGAGCTAAGTCTAAATTCACACAGTTTAGTGGCAAAGGCTGGACTTCTGACCCTTGGTTCAGTCTTTACTTCCCTAAGAGGTTGTACTTGATTGCTTTCTACACAGCCCAAGTTGCATGCTTTATGAGGTTTTACTGGGTGATAACATGCCTGTTATCTGTATGTTTCCACTTTAAGCCAGTCAGAGTGCATATTGAGTAAACTGGAGACAATATTTTTTAGAATTACATTTCATGTCTGGATCTTGTTTTCCTGATGAATTC